GGTCATATCTCCTTCTGACCACAGCTAGCAAAGATTCTTCCATTTTAATGACCCATGTGATTACATGGGACAGACCCAGAAAACCCAGGATAATGTCTCATTTCATGATCTTAATCCTTCTTCATACCTGCAGAATCTTTTCTACCATGTGCAGTACTATATTCTAGGTTCCAGAAACTGAAAAATGAATATCTCTGGAGGAGAAGGTACATTACTTTGCTTGCTTTTCCAATGACAGTAAGTAGTAGTACTCAGTCCACAGGAGTATGAGTCAACATCAGAAGATATTAATGGAAATATATTTAAGTAAATATGATATACAATAATGAATATTAATTAACAGAAGAAATAATTATTCACCTTCTTTAAGGAAAAGATTTCCTTAGATCTCATGTAATGTTTTCATGTACATGAAATTTTAAATTAACCTACTGACTTTTGTTTAATAATAAATTATTCTTCAATAATTCCATTCCTTTCCAAAATCTATTTTACACAATATAATTGTAATAACAATAAAAATTTTTATATATTATACTATGGTATAAACTGTTCTTTCACATAAATTCTTATATAAACTCTTACATGAATCAGTTGTCCTTTATTAAGCTTTACGTTTATGTTAGAGATATATGTGTTTACAGTTTCTTACAAATATAGACAATGCTTCTTTAAACATTTATTTTTTATTTTTTATATTTATTCTTAAGTTTTAGGTAGACACAATATCTTTATTTTACATTTATGTGGTGCTGAGGATCGAACCCAGTGCCTTGTGCATAGTAGGCAAGCACTCTACCACTGAGCCACAATCCAAGCCCCAGACATTTTTTTAGCTGTGTAACTAATTTTTGCTTGGAAAAACTCCCATAAGTGAAATCACAGTGTCAAAATATATGCTTGACCACTGGTTGCCCACTGGTTCCCCTCTTGTTTTTAGAACGATAATTTTGTCAGGTATTGTGGTAATCTAGCTATCTGAAAAGATAGGTTGAATTAGTAACTTAAACATCTTTAAATACCAGAGTTAAATTTCTGTTTTGTGTGGGCTGGGGATGTGGCTCAAGCGGTAGCGCGCTCGCCTGGCATGCGTGGGACTCGGGTTCGATCCTCAGCACCACATACCGACAAAGATGTTGTGTCCAACAGGAACTAAAAAATAAATGTTGGAAATTCTCTCTCTCCTCTCTCACTCTCTCTCCTCTCTCGCTCTCTTTAAAAAAAAAAATTCTGTTTTGTGGACATTATTGACATTTTTATAGTTGGAGAGGATTTGGTCAGAGCTAGGGTTAAGAAGCTGAATCTGATGGGTTGATATCTATATGCACTGTCTTTTCTGCTTAGACTGCTATAAAAGAACACCATAGACTAGATGGCTTAAACAACACTTATTCCTCCTAGTACTGAGTCTGGAAAGTTCGCCATCAAGGGGCTGGTTGATTTGATTTCAGCCCTTTTTATGGCTTGCAGAGAGCTATCTTCTGGCTATCCTCACAAGGCAGAGGGAGTGTGCTCTGATCTCTCTCCCTCTTCTTCTAAGGACCCTGATCCCATCATGGGGGCTCCACCTTCAAGACCTCATCTGAACCTGGTTACCTCCTCACAGCCTCACCTGCTAACACCATCACACTGGGGATCAGACTCCAACATGTGGATTCTGGTGGAACAAGCACTCATTCCATCACATGCACCACCTAGGTGTCTGTCACTGCTCTAATTCAAATGAGAGGAGGTGTCCTAACTAAAATAAGAATGTCACAAAAGGCATCACAGAAGATGAGACAAAAGAAAAATTCAATGATGATTCTAAAGTGTGGAGCCTGGGATGGAAGAATTAAGTGCCATTGTTGGGAGTGTATGGTTGGGGGTGTTTTAATGCTTAGGAATGCTGGAATCCATTTGGGATATGTGGGCAGAACATCTACAGAAGTGTGAGACGTAGGAGAGAGATTGGGTCTCCTACGAAGGTACTACAAATGCAAGCCATGTATTTAATTTTAAGCTTTCTAAAGAGACATTAAAAAAAGTAAACAAGTTACACTAATTTCAATTATATATATATATATATATTAAAGAGAGCGTGATAGAGGAGAGAGAGTGAGAGAGAGAGAATTTTTAATATTTATTTTTTAGTTCTCGGCGGACACAACATCTTTGTTGGTATGTGGTGCTGAGGATCGAACCCGGGCCG